ACGAGAAAAGCTCTGGGAACGTTCTCCTGGAGGAAGAGAAGCGCTTCTGTCGCTCGCAGAGCCGGGGCCCCGCAGTCGGAGCGCCGCCGTCGCTGCCCCCTGCCCGGCCCGTGTGCTGGGAGCGCGTCTGGGCGGTGCGGGAAAGGGGCTCCGTGGTGCGGGAGGCTCTGCGTGTCCTGGAGGGAAGTGGGGCTGAGGGAGCAGCCCGCGAAGCTGATCCAAGGCCCTAAGTCCTTACGTAACCTCGCATTTTAAATAAAATAAACTATAACAATTAAAAGAAGTTTTCTTCGGCGCGGTTCGGTAATAAAACAATTGGGGGAAAAAAAAAAAAAAAAAAAAACAACAAAAAACACCCGAAACTTCTCCCATCCGGACGCTCTAAGAAGTTGGCAATTAGCTACAAAAATCCCTCTATGAGCTAATGAGCTGATCAGTGAGGAATACATGCACTGTGGTTCCTTTTTTTTCTTTCCGTTGTTTTTTTTCCTCCTCTGTTTCTTTTTTTTTTGTCTTTCTTTCTTTCTTTTTGTCTTTCTTTCTTTCTTTCTTTTTTATTTTTTTTTTTTTTTCCTACGTCTCTATTCATTTACTCACAATGTACCAAAGCTCTGATCGCGACGCTTCGCCGCACAGTACGCAGAGAAGGGAACCCCCTCGCTCGGATACGGTGGGCTCTGTAACTATCGGCGTTGCCAATAGATGGCACAGTGGCCTTTCCCTTGCTCGGAAGCTCCCGCTCCCCTCTTATTTACCTCGCTTGTTTGTTTGGCTCGCAGCAAGTTTTTTGACGCATAAACGTCTCTTTGCGTTTCCTTCCCCGGGGTACAGAAACCCTAGGTATCTTTACAAAGGTATATTGCAAAAATTAAAATTACAGATGTAATACATACTGTGAAACCTATAAAAATGCGTTTACAATGGTTACTTAAAAAAGAAATTTATAACTTTCATATGTACCTTACTCGTGCAATATGCAACTGCCATATGTTTCCTAGTGCCATAATTCAGTTTTTCCTGGACAGCTGGAGCAGGTAGGACTTCTGAAAGTACATTTCGTGTAATATGAGAACCGGCCCCGACTAAAGACCGAGGGCTGCCATAAAAAGACACAAGCCTCGCTTAACAAACGCTGTTTAACTACACACCGTTTCTTACAATAGTTCGATATAAACGTTCCCGTAGCCCCGCGTTATGACAAAACGGGGATACGCTGTATCTTTTTATTGCTGAAATCCCAGCCTTGCAAACATAAATATTTCCAATTAGTGGCTCTACTCTAAGCTACGGTGATTTAAAGCTACCTAATTTAATTTAATTCCATACACGTTTTCATATTTTTCCTGAGACAATAGTGAAAATACGAGTTAAATTTATAGGAAAGCAATAAAGAAGTAAAGCCAGAGGTTTCTTCAGCCCTCATTTAGCGTTTGCAAAGTTTTATTTTGAGACTGCGGCCATGAAAAGGCTCTTTTTAAAAATCGTTTGTCTGAAACGAGCAATGAATGTAAGTGGGAGAGTCATATTAAGGGCTGGAGATTTTCTTCAAAATGATTCATGTTCGTGGCTCCATAATTCCGAATTAAGGTAGTAACTTAAGCGCTATGGAGCACGAGCACCAGAATATCTGTAATTTTAACACGGGTGCGTTTGAACTGTGTTTTCAATTCCTTCATGCAATTCCTCAGCATTTTCACCCGTCTGGAAAGCCGATCGGTCGGCTGCATGTTTATTTCCGTACGCTGATTTTATTTACTCTTCAGCAGCAGAAGAGCGAATGTTTCTTTCCGCAGTTTTAAAACGAGACCTGAGGCTGCGGGGCAGCGGCCGGTAGAGGCGGGCGGCCAAGGGGCTCGGTGGAGAGGGCAAAGAAAGGCCGCCCGCCCTCGCGCCGGGCGCGACTCGCAGCTGCTGCCGAACGGGGAGCGACGTCGGGGGGCAGGGCGGGCCGGCCGCGACCCGTTCGCCCGGTCCGCACCCGGCCTCCCCCGCTGAAGTCGGGACAACGTGTTCCAGCAGCAGCGAGATGCCCTCCTCTAACCTCGCTCACGGAGTCTGTGTGACGGCCACCGTCACGCCGCGGTGGCAGCACTACCGGCACTTTGGGCTTGGTTTGGGGGTGACAAGGGATGGCCGCACAATTGCTCCCCGCATCCCCAGGATAACCCTGGGGTCATCGCAGGCGACTTTGGGCGTCATAAGCAGTGAGAGCGATGAGGTTTCCCTCGGACCCCCGCGCCTCCTCCGCCCGGTTCCCAATCCTAGGCTCCGGGACGGAGAGCAGCGGCTTTAGGAGTGTGAGGTCGAGCCGCGGATTTTGGGATGCCCTCCAGGTGCAGAAAGCGGCCGGAGAGGGCTGGGCCCCGGAACGAGCAGCGGGGGCTGCGCGGGCCCGAAGCCGCCGCAGTGCTGGGTGAAGCGCCGCGTGGTGCGCGCCCGCGGAAGGTAATGAACGTTCGTAGTAACGTAGAGCCCCGCGGCCGCTCCGGACGGATTTTAGACCCTCTGGGAGGCGGCTGGGGACTGTGGTACCCCGCCACGTCCGGCGCCGCGGAGTGGCTTCCGTTCAGTCAGAGCCACTCTTAACTTTATCTCAGGTCTGTTGGGACAGAGAACTGCAGCTCCTTGAGAGCCACTCCAGGTTCTCTGCTCATCCCGGCAATGGGAAATCTAAGGTGCTAATTCAGCCCCATTCCTTCCTCTCATCGGCTCTGGGTAAGAAACGGGAGGAGGTGCGCTCGGGGCACACAAAAACGTGATTTGCACGCGAATCTCCCACTACCTTCTCACTGTATTCGCTGTACTTTCTCACTGTGTTTGGCTGAGCGGCCCCGTCAGCTGCCCGTTGTCAGTGAGAAACCATTGGACTCACTGGGGAAAAAATTGATAATGATATAAATATGTTTTCCTCAGTGACCGCTCCTCCGCTCCCCTGCTGGGAAGTTACAGCACACGGGGCTTTAAAGAGCGAAGCGCTCCGCGAACATTCTCTCCCTCTCCGAGTAACGCTCGGAAACATTTGCAGAAATCGCGAACGACGATGCACAGCCGTAAGGATCTCCTAAACAGCACCCGACATTCTCGAAGGCAGAAGAGGAAAATAAGTATCCTTCTGGCGAAAAACGGCTTCAACATCTTTTTATTTTCGAAAGCCGCAATGTGCGGCTTTCAAAGGCGCAGCGCCTCACCCGAGTGTCCGCAGAGCCGCACCGCATGTCACCGTCCGGGAAGAAAAGTAAAACCCGGAAAGGTGCTTTGAATATATGCATTATTCCATCAGCAGATCGCTAGATAGAAATATTCTTCTCTCTTTCAGCATCCCATAAGAAAAAAAAAAATCTCACAGACATATGGACCGCACGTTGTTTGGTACATTCAATTTTATCCCCTTTGGGTTTGTATAAATAAGAACAACAACAATAACAAAATCCAAACACTAAAAAAAAACCCAACAACAAAAAACAAACAAACAAACAAAAAAGTCAAGAAATAAAAACAACACCACATTGAATCTACAGAAATCGGTCTAGAAAAAGATATCCCAACAGCAGCCAGCGCCCAACCTCCCGGCGTCACCACCACCGACGCGAAATAAGGTGATGCGGCCATTCTGTGTGATGCAACCCGCAGGGCCCGGCTCCCCCCGCGGCCACCCCGCCGTCCCCGCTGTCCCCGCAGCTCTCGGAGGGGTCCTGGCCCTCCCCACCTCCCCTCCGTTCCTCCGCGCCGGGCCCCTACCTGCTCCGCCGGCCCCGCCGGTGCAGCAGCAGCGGAGGAGCGGAGCCGCGGAAGGCGCCGTCGGAGCTCGACGGGAGGGCGGCTCGCAGAGCGCCCTGGGGCAGCCGGGAGCCATTTCCTTCCTACCTCCCACTATCGATCTCAGCCCCAGCGCGAGGGCGGTTCAGCTCCTGCGGGATCCTCGAGCTTAACACGCTCCGACCCCTCTAGCACATGTGATTTCCTTCGGATTCGGTTGCGGCACGGCCGGGCAGCTCAGACGGGCTTCAGCCCGCGGTGTGGCGAATGCGTCCCGGACGGAGAACGCAGAGAGAGAATCCCGCGGCACCGGGAGCTCCCCGCAGCCCCACCGATCCGCAGTGGGATTTTATCGGGGTGTAATGCACAACCCTTTCACCGTGGTGGCGAGTTTTGTTTTTGTTTTTTCTTTAATCGATTATCGACCTGACATTCCCTCGCGCTTCGAAAGAGATGTAAACAAATTAATCGCCGGTAACGCTCCGTGGGGTAACTCATCTCTAAGTGCGTTTAGCACTCAGCCCTTCCCCGACGAAGCAGCCCATCCGGTATTGAAATAGGGCACACATCGCGCGCTGGGGATAGGTGAAACCGTACAGTGCATTTCACGTCTCCCCTGCGGCGGCTCCGTCTCCCCGGGGTGCCATCACCGGATCCCGTTCCGCAGCCCGGAAACAAACGAACAAACCCCCCAAATGCAAACATTCAAAGAGGAATGAAGGGAAACAAAACAAAACATCCCAATAGCTTTTCACTGGGAACGCACGGCAAAGAGTGACTGCCCCAAATCTGCAGCTTTCCATCGTGTTGCTCACGGGAAGGATTTCGGAATGGCTTTCCCCGTGCATACGTCGTGCACCTGAATGTGGCCGGTGGTTACGTCCAACGATCGGCGTCGGAGCGGCTGCGCCCAAACCCCTTTCGCAGCACCGCGACGAACCCCCGACAGCCGACCGGCGCTCCGACCCCCCCTCCCCCCATCCCGAACCGGGCCCGAACGGAACGAAGTCCCTCTGCAGACCCCCCATCCTCCCCCCCGCCCTTCCCGTTGCGGGGGTCGCTCCCGTTAACCCCCACCGCAGGGTGCGGCGATGCCGGCCGGGCCCCCCCCCTCTCTGCTCGGCGCCGCGGGGCCCCGCTCGGGCCGGGCCGGGCCGGGGCGGTGTTGCGGCGCTGATTGGGCAGCGGGCGTCCGTGAGGGCTCAGCCCCCGCCCCGCGGCCCCGCCCGGCCCCTCCGCCCCGCGGCACTAATGAGCGGTCCGTCCCCGCGCTCTCCTGCCTGGAAGTGCTGACAGATCAAGGCAACAAATTTCAATTACAAGCCCTAATTTGTGTCCGCAGAGCGTTTGTTACCCATGTCAGTCCTGTTGGGCCCATCAGACGGGGCAGAGCGAGGAGGAGGAGGAGAAGGAGGAGGAGGGGGAGAAAAAGGGAGCATCTGCAAAAAGGAATAGAGTTGTTGTTTTTTTTTTCTCCCCTTGAAAAAAAAAAAAAAAAGAAAAAAAAAAAACTTGGCTGATAACTCGGATTTAAAAAGAAAGGCGAGGAAAAGCCCCGGCCCCAGCCGGCGCGGTCGGGAGGACGGGCGGGCGGCGCTGGCTGCAGGGGGGGCATGGCCGACAAGCGGCGGGCCTCGCCCGGCACCACCATGAGCCTGAAGGCTCACGCCTTTTCGGTGGAGGCGCTCATCGGGGCCGAGAAGCAGCAGCCGCCCGCGCCGCCCCCGCGGCAGCCCAAGCGGCGGAAGGTGGGCGGCGAGGACGAGGCGGCGGACGACGAAGGGGGCAGCGGCTGCTGCGCCGGGAGCCCGGCGGCCACCAGCGGCAGGAACGGCGGCGACATGGAGCCGGGCTGCGCCCGCGGGCCCGCCGGTGAGTGCCGCTCAGGCCCGGGGACGGGGCGGGGGGCGACGGGGAGGGCGAGTAGTTCGTAACGTCTGCGTGCGGGATGCGCCCGGCTATAGGTATCTTTCTGTATAACGTGTACGTACGCGCATGGAGGGCTGAGCGAAACGCGCCCGAACGAAACTCGCGCGACGGAGCGTCCGGCGGGGCCCCGGCCTTTCGGCTTCCTCTCCTCTCCGCTCTCTCCGCAGGCGCCGATGAGGGTTTCGCGGCGGCGTCCCCGCCCGCCTCGCCCGGCGGCGGCGGCTCCCCGAAGGGCTCCGGGCCCGCCTCGCCTCTGCCCGCGCCCCAGGCGCCGCGAGTTGAGCTGCAGGGCGCCGAGCTCTGGAAGCGCTTCCACGAGATTGGCACCGAGATGATCATCACCAAGGCGGGCAGGTAACGGCACCCGGGCAGCCGAGTAGCCCAAGCCGAGCCGGGGCATCTCCGCGGGCGGGATTGCGCCGAGGAAGTGGATGTACGGCGCAGGGAAACGGCCCCGGCTCTAGGCGTTGGGGCTTCCCCGCTCGTTGGGGTGAGGTCTGCGCGCTGTGCCCTTCGGAGGAGAAACTTTTCCCCTTCCCAGTGCGTACAGATGGCCAAAACCTGGATAGTATAAGCGGATCTGAACTTATTAGAAATTACAAAAACATATTTTATTGGATCCATATGCTACCTTCTGAGTGTTCAGAGGGGCTTTATTAATGATGGAAAAGCAGTCTCAAGCAGCACAAAGCAACATTTGTCTTACGGAGCCCGGGCAGGGGGCTCTTCTGTACCTTACAGGTGCATCGCAGCGGCAGCGCGCTGCCCGACGGTGGACAGTTACCCTCGAGGTTTTCAGAAATAAAAGACATGGGGCTTTCCTTTCCAGTAACGACTTTTAATTGAGGTGGTTTTTTTTTGTTTGTTTGTTTGGTTTTTTTTCTTTTTTGTTTTTGTTTTTGTTTTCTTAAAGAGCTGCAAATAATAAATCAGAAGGGCTTTCGGGCTGATAGGGCTCATACAAGTCATTCCTGTTTGCTTGCAGTCAGCACAGCGCTGCAATGTTTTCTTTGTTAGCATCAAGAATGAACTTTCTTGATAAAAGCCGTGCCAAGCACAGGCTGAAATAAGAAATGCGTTTTTATACTGAAACAACAACACCAGGTGATTACTCCATTTTCTCTCCAGAAGGATGTGGATTGCAAACGTATTTTTTTCAGAGTTGCCCGTACGCCCGTTTCTGCTTCCAATAAAGAAGTTTTACTGTACCTCTCAAAGGCAGAGCAGCCGTTGCGCTTTACCTTAGCAGGCTGCAGACAGGAAGTCCGTCTCAATAAAGACCATATTGTTCAGTTATGGCATAGCACATTGGGCTTATAACTGCATCCTCACAGCATTTGGGCTGTGTCACCGCAGACCCTGCTTTGCAATGTGCTGAGGTCCAGTGAGCCGTTTGCTGCTGTCAGTTGGCACAACTGGAGGTTTGCACTGCTGTGAGCAGCGGTGCTCCAGAAATACATTTCTAGCTAACGGGTTTCGAGTGTGCACGATGCTGAAGTGCAGCCTCAAAACAAAATGATTTACTGTCTAACAATAAAGCTGAAATGATGTGGTAATAGTTGTACTCCCAAAGCGTATCCCAAAACATACGGAGCATTGTTCAAGTGAATGCACTTCTGAAATCTGTTTTGACATATCGAATGGGCCGTTTCATGGCTGTGTAACTGGAATCGGCAGAAAGGACTCAGTGGGCTAAAGGGAAGAACGGGGAAAATCCCACGAAGCGGTTCCTTGTCCTAAACAGCCCTTCCCCACTCTGTTTCGCATTAAAAGTGACCTTTCTCTTTCCATGTTCAGGCGGATGTTTCCCGCAATGAGAGTGAAGATCTCAGGTTTAGACCCCCATCAGCAGTATTACATCGCCATGGATATTGTGCCAGTGGATAACAAAAGATACAGGTACGGTGGCTTTCAGGTAGAAGACCTATGATGTGCGCCTTGGGAATCCTAGCTATTGCAAGGCAATATTAACAGCATATAAATTAGCAGAAGGTGGGGTTCAGCTCTCCTTCAGATTCCTGTTGTCAAACTGGGACGTTAAAAAAAAAAACCAACAAAAATCAATGTGCCAAGTGTGCAGAACTAACTGGAGTGTTGCTGGAGCAATGCGTACCTTTGACTCATGCTATACATGTGCTGTGGGCAAGCACTCCATTCTTTGCTTTTGCAGACCGTGCTTGTGGTACAGTTATCCTGTTCTCCTGTGTTTTTCCTTATCATGTCACTGGGAATTATTTCCTGTTAGCACATAGATGGGAAAATGCTCCATTTTCTAGCATTAAATGGCAACAACAAGAAAACATTCTTGCATCAACCTCTGACTGAATGGCCATAGAATGTAATGCACATGAGCTTTCTTGGTTGTGCTTTGAAGTGATTCTTTCTTTTACTCCAGTAGCAGTTTAGCACTGAGATATCTGTCTGCTTAGATTCACAAAGGGTAGTGCTTCTAATTACTATTAAAAAAGAACAAATTGATGGCATCTGAAATATAATATGATGAACAAAAGTAGTTGTTCTTCCAGCATTTGAGAGTGGGAATGATAAGCTAAAGCTCTGACTGCTGTGAAGACAGCTATAGTTCCAGAGTTCATGTTGGGCTGTGTTGAAGCCCTCCTCCTGTAGCAATGGTAGCAGGATTGGGCCCGCAGCAGTCACTGCGACCTGGGGATGTCTGTGTGCTGTGCTTCACAAACGTGCTCCCACTCTCCGTGCAGCCAAGTGGTTCAGTGGAGGCAGGAGTGGGCCCCTACCAATGCTGTTTTGATTGTTTCAACCCCGTACTTAGTGTAATTTATGGGAAACCGCTGCCGATTTAATTGTAGAAGTCAGAATATTTCAGACTGGGACTAAAAGGTTGGTTCGTCAGGAACGCCTCCTTGTTTCCTTAACAAACAGCACCTTATGTTTTTTGCATGTCCTTACCTCACTGACTAATTTTGCCCTTTTATCATGCGGTGTGTAAGCAGTTTCTTACTACTGCTTTTGATTTTGTTTTTCAGCAAGGTGCAGGTAGAAATGCTGAGCATGTCCAGTGCACAACACTTTTCTGGCTGTATCGTAGGGGATTTATTTTTTTCCTTCCCTTCGAACAGAGCGGTGCAGCTGAAATAAAACTTAGTGTTGCATTTACTTAGTGATCTAAGGATCTCCTTCCTAAAAGGTCTGATCACCTTCTTAACTCAGAGGAAGAGAATGTAAATAGTTCAAATTGAACAAAAACGTTCATATTAAAAAAAGTTATGCAGCATATGAGTTGTTTAAAGTGAACTGTGTTTAAAATAAATACTTCCATGCTGGTCTGAGCTGTCTGCGCAGTGAGGTATGTGGTCCCCAGATAAGAGAAGTAACTTAATGTTGTCTGCTGGGCAGTATTGTTGTAGTTGGCAAACTTAAATTTCTGCAATCATATTTGAGTACCATGTCTTTAATTTTCCTACTGGATGTTACTGTTGATTCCCATTTTCATTGTTTGGTATGCAGTCTATACATTCATTTTTAAGTTATTTAACTTGTGCTGCTCATATGGCTTTGAAAGCTGATTGTCTTGCAGATGCAACAGCAGCCTTACACTGAGCCTAGACTTAAACTGTCATAGCAGATAGCAAAACTACACAGGAATGAAGAAAATTGAACCTAGGTCTAGATTCCTAGCAAAATTGGACTTCATTGTAAATATTAGGAAGCTTAAACTGTTGTCATAAACATAAAATATTCAGAATATTATTTCCTTTTGTAGGAAAATATATATATATTATAAAACAACAAGTTTTATAAACAAAACAAATAAATGGCAAAATGTCACAACAGTTGACTGCATGGTTTAGGATTGAGAACTTGCCTCCAGATAGGATTTGGGGGAGGATTTTACCACTGTACTGAATTTTACTTTTACAACTTGATAGGGGCTGTATGAACGGATGTGTGCATTGCATCATTTTAATTTCTGATTGTTGTTTAGCTTTTTCTACTTTGGAACCAAATTGTACAAACATATGATACTCTTTCATGAATTTTTTTTAAAAATACGACTGATTTACAGGAATTTTACTGTTGTTGGAAAAAAAGACCTCAGCATTTTTATTTATCACTTTCTAAAATTGCATTATGAAGTATCTGCCTTCAAAGTAAGTTTTCTACCAAAGCAGGCACTGCTTGTATGAGAAAGAGATTTTGTCAGCACTGGCCTATCAGATGAAATACAAGATGTGTTTTTTCATTTTCAAGCCTTTCTGTGATAGTATTCAGGAAAAATAAGATGGTCTTGCAGAAATATCTAGAGCATAGTTTGACATAGCTTCATTGTTTTTCCTAATCATAATGTTCTTTGCCTTCAATATTTTTTATTTATAGACTCTTATACGAGACTCAACATGTTAAATCTTCCAAATATGGAATTTCTACTTGATTTGATAAATGAAGGACTGTATTCTGCCCTGTTTGCTGATGCTTTTTCAGAGTGGAACTGTATAGGCTATGACTTGACACCAGCTTAAACCTCAGCACAGAGGCTAGCGTAAAGGCTATTACGAGCTTTAGGAAGGCTCATTTTCAATGAGAGCAGTTTTTTAACCTTCCTCTTCCACATAGCAGACATGTCTTTTGGAACTAAAATAATCACATTTATTTTGCTTTCATGCTAGTTAATTGATGGGCTCTTGCTGTAGTTGTATGGACCTTAACGTATTAATTCAGACTGGTTCTGATAAATAAGTCCAGGTTTTGTGGTGAGAGATGTTTGCTCTCTTTTTGCAGGTATGTTTATCATAGCTCCAAGTGGATGGTGGCCGGCAACGCTGACTCCCCAGTACCGCCTCGTGTTTATATTCACCCCGATTCACCTGCCTCCGGGGAGACGTGGATGAGACAAGTGATCAGCTTTGACAAACTAAAGCTCACCAATAATGAACTTGATGATCAAGGGCATGTGAGTACTTGCTCTTTTACGGTATGATATGTAGATGATTGCTCAGCCCTGCAGGACTCTGACATACAGCTTCAGGGTGCCAGAAATAGGCATGACTTTTCAAAGCTGTTTTGGAACTTTACCGTCCAGATCTGAAATCTGCTTACTTTCCACTCTGATAATTAACTGCTTATTAGAGCCTGCTGTTTTACTCCCCCCTCAAAAATAAAACTCCTTCTGCAAAGTCAGACTTTACAAGGCTAAATTGCCTAATACGAAGGGGCAGAATTGCTCTAATGTTTTCCCACCAAGTGTGGTACTTGCAACTTCTGCTCTGATCAAAAAGTACGTTTAAATTCACAAGTCGCTAGGAGAAACATTAATAGTGTGTAATAACTTCATGTGAATAAAAAACACTTAACTATTTTCTTAACCTAAACATTTGTGTGAAATCCCATGAGGTGTTAATAATTGCAGTCAAAAACGAACAACATGGGAGCTGGGTTCACTCCGATAATGATTTATTGCATACCTTATGAAGCGAGACCCTTTCACAGCTGAGGCTCATTACTTCTGAAAAACTGGCGAAGACGTATGCAGTATGAGTGTTCTGTTTGCAAGTTCTAAATTGTTTAGTTATGACATTATCTAATGTGACAAAATGTGTTATGTTAATATTTCCTTTTCTCTTCAAAACTGTTGAAACATGACAGATGTAAGCCAGTATCTTTCCAACAATCCCTAAAATAGTTTCATTTGACACCTTAGGAAATAATTAAAAAATGAGAATTGTTTTTAGTCAGAGCAAAGTCTTTAATTTTGGAAAAATCCAGTAATAAATCTCAAACGTAGGCTTACTTTCAAAAGGAGCATTGAATTCCAAGGGGTAGAGTTTTGAGATCTAAGAGGCAAGTTTTGAGACAGGATGCGGATTCCATTGCCCTTAATGTAGTGCAGTTTATTAAGCAAACGGGATGCTTTCCCCTTCACGGACGGGAGTGAGAGAAAACATACCTGGCGCAGGGTGCAAAGATACTGCACGCATCTTCCAGTATAGTTGAACTCTGAGCCAAGAATTTAGTGAACGTGTATTCTGAGTATGCCACTTGTTTCCCCATTTCTGCTTGCAAAGGAGATTGCCTTGAAGCTGTGGTCAAATTGTGCAGGAGTTTAAACTTTTAAGTTATGTACCCAGGAACATGGGAGACAGGCTAGACTGAGCGAACTTGCATGATAGTGAGAATGAAGAGTGTCCCCTGCATACAGTGCTGTTTGTAATTGTGTTACCCATATTCTTCTTAAAGGAAGAGTGTATTTGTATCTTTTGAGTTAGCGGCACTTTTGTTCAGGATTGTAGAGAAGATATTGTGCGTCGCTTGTTTCCAGAGTTGCAGTTAGGGAGTCTCAATTGGCAGTGTTTAAGTCTTCACACAGATAGTCCTGTTAGTTTCCTGGTGACTGTGCGTTTGAGACCTTCCTTGGGTGCGAGTTGCATTCTCTGAGTCCAGAGTTTGTTGTAAAGTCTTCACAAAAGGAAGCAGATGTGAATGGGTAGAATGTTGCTTCTCCAATTGAGAGCTGGTCCTTGTACTCGGTGGTCTCCAAGCAGCAAAATATGGATGCAGGAGTCTACCCAAGCATATGCAGCCGCGGAATACTCCATTATGAATTCTAGAGTAAGTAGGAAACTGCACTGTTATATGTTTCCATCCCAGATCCTAGCTTTATTTTTCTTCAGAACTGAAACCTGCATAGTGTACACAGCACGCCATTATTCATAATGCAAGGGGATATAAATTTTCTGGTCTTTAGTGAAGTGTTTCGATTTGGAAATGAGTGAAGCAAAGCTCTAGTGCAGTGATTTGGGACACATTGAACTGATTCAAAGCTACGGCAGCACCCCTCCTCCTCAAAATGGAAATTTAAGTATTAAAATAAAAGGACAAAAGAAGGATGACTGCAAAATAATTTCATATTTCTTAAATCTGGGAAATTGCAAACATGTCATTCATAATTACCAGAAAAGGCAAAAGCAGAAAGCAGAAAAGTGTCTTTTCCAATGGGTACATATTTTCTTTTAAAGCTATGGTAGTGTGGAATGCTGTATTGAAAAAGCTATGTAGACTCCGAACGCCTCCAGCAACAATGGAAAACGAATAATCCTATTTTGTGATGAATATAAAAAAGCAATTGTTTCTCATAAGCAGGAAGGAACCATTTTTCTCAAGAGGGTACCGGAGGAGGGATGGTGGATTAGAGGAACTGGGGTCAAGACCATACTGTCCCTAGAATATTTGTTTTTACGTCAGATGCTCTGAGTCTCCCACCTCTATTGTGGGAGGTGGGGTGCGGTTAATGTTACTAGAATGCTTTTTTTTTTTTCCTCCTGCTTAAAAAGAATGGCTCAGGGAAGCCTCCATGGGTGCTTTGCACTCTGCCTTCCTTCCTCCAGTGGCACAAGCAGTATCGGGATTTAGCTGCTCTTTTGGTATATGTTTCATGCTGCCTGGTTCTGATATTTCAATCCTTGCTGAAATCTTTCCTTTATTCTCCTTATGCTCCCTGAAGGTGTCAGTTTTTGCAGAGTGTTTGTGTTAAAATCCTGGGGCTTGGTTTTGACCTTGCACATGTGAATTTCTATTGAGGTCAGGAGTTTGTGTGAGCTCAACCCAGAGCCCTTTTACCGGAGCATTAACTCCCAGAGCCACTGACAGAAGTGACTCATGCTCATGGGAACGGTGGCTGTGTTTGCAAACAGATGCTCAGGTAGTATTTCTGTGTGGTATTTATGTGGCGGTAGTAACTGACGGCAGCCAGCTTGCCTTGTGCTGCATGGGCCTTGCAGCAAATGGCCCCATCGACCTGGTGTTAGCTTCTTGTTCAGAGAACTGGCCATTTTTGAGGCAGCTCGCTTGGCTGCTCAGTCACTCTTTGGGCTTCTTGCTGCCTTCTGCTGTTTGCATCAGTGTTTTGAGTGGGAGTTTGCGACAACAAGATTTTATAGTGCTGTTCTGTGGAGGGATTTTGAAGTGCATCCGCACGTAGGACGTTCTGATACGTGAGTTCCCCTTGCAGGCTGAGATCAAGCAGGATTTGTAAGGAGATGTTTCCTGGTGTAGTTTTGATCTCAGAAGAGAGGCCCAGAGCAAATTCCTACTTTGGAAAGATTGTGTGCCTATACAGATGTTAAAGCCAGATCAGATCATTGAGACATGTACAGTATGGCATTCTTGTCTTTTGTCTGAATTGTTAGGATGTAAGTAAAAGAAAGGAAAGAAAAGTAAAGAAAGGAAATTAAATCTGTGTCTTGCAGTTGATGTTGAGATTGGGTCGCTCACAGTTGGGTGCTGTTTGTCTCATGAGTCAGTGCCTCTTGCTTCCAGAGTGGGAAATAATTGCTGTGTTATAAAATGGGTCTCTCTGTCTAATTTGAGCTAGACGATTTTTCTGTTTTAATGCAGCTTTATGGCTGAATTTGAACACAGGGCAAAAGCCATTATTTTGGTATTGTTTTCTGTGCTTTTCAACTAAATGCTTTATGATGCTGAAGAACATCTAACTTTGAGTGAAAATGAGGCCGTTAGTGTGTTAATTGTTCCATGGGTGTTCAGAAGATTTTACCTCCTCAATTTGAAAGTGGGGTTAGGCTGGAGGCTGTGGTTGGTTTTTGCCCTTCCTGGCTGTGGCTTTGAGCACCAAGCTCTGCTTGCTTTCACTGGGTCCCTGTGGGTTTGTCATGGTGAAAAGCTGGAAAATATCAGCACTTGCAGTTCCTCTTTGTGAGGAGAAAATTATTCTTCCACGCATCTCCCTGACTGCAGAAAGCCTGACCACATGGGCTTTGCTTGATAAAGGAAGATTTTTGGAGACCACAGCAGTGAGGTGAGGACAATGCCACCATGCCGTAGGAGAACTGTGACATCTGTCTCACGGCAGTATCTAGGGTGAGAGCCAGCACTGAGGCCTCATCATGATAGCTCCTTTCCATACACCTACTGTGAGGTTACTCTAGACAGGTTAAGTTTTGTGTGTCCATGAGTGCTGTGTTCGTTACTCCACGCTGCTTCCGTGTTGTTGTGGCCTTCACTCTGCAGGGCTCCTGCCTCCTCCTTGAGCTCAAGCCGATAGTAATAGCAGGGCAACTGCCCTGGTCCAAGTGCCACAACTCTGAGGATTTGCACTGTCAAAACAGAGAGGTTTACTGCCCTGGGAAGTGATGGCATGGTGCCGGTCGGCAGTATCCCTGTTGACTCTCACTGTGCTGTTTGCCCACACCTACTGAGGAAAGGTGAAGGGCTTGAGTGTGAAGCCTTGATATATGTGGGAAAGAATGGCTGCTTTATAGAAGTATGGGAGTGAAACTTGTGTTTGATAAACAGGAATTTTGCTTGGTAAGTATTAGGGCATGTTAGAAAACAGCCCCCTTGCTGTTGCTGCATGCTTAGGGAAGCTGCCAATCCGTGAGTAAGGGGTAAAATTTTGCTGTGCTGCCTCAGGAGCAGCTCGGAAAAGAACCTGAGACAAAGCCTTTCCCTGTGCTTGTCCTGGGAGGGAGGAAGCCATGCTTAGCGTTCCTCAGTTGTGGTGGTGCAGCTGTGGGGAAGGCTGGAAGGAGGGAGCCTCATGGCAAGGGTGCAGGCACTGCTCTGCTCTGTGCCCTGCCTGGGCTCAGTTCTGCACCAGGCTTTCAGAGTGGGTATTGCACCCGCTTTCCTTCCTCACCCTGTCTGCATAGTGTTACTGCTCTCCATGTGGTGTTCATCTCCCTGCTGCTGTAACTCTGCTTGTTCTGATATATGAACCAAGTTGATTGCAGCTGCATGGATTTTCACTGCATAGAGGCAAGTGTGCATGCTCGGTTCTGCACGGGTCGATGGCAAGATACAAAATAGTAATGAACTCAAATGGTGGAAAAGGGTTTACTTGATGGAGTTTTTTCTGTGGCACCAGTACCTTCCTTGGTATCACTGAGTATTCATAGGAAGACGGGATCAAGAATGTGTTACTCTCGCTGCGTTTTCATTTTGTTGATCTTTGCCCTCAGAGAGCTGAAAGCATAGTTGTAAAAAGAATGCACATTTGCTTATGCAAGATTTCAGAAACTAGGGAAAGGCCTCTTATGAGAACATCCACAGGGCACTCCCTGAGCAAATTAATTGAAGCCTGTGATGTCATCGTCAAAGCCTTACATGCAGGCTAATAAAAAACATGATTATCCAGAAACTTGGCGTATCTAAAATGGGGTCATGTCTTTTGGCCAGGACCAAGTGTATTAAACTAGCCAAACTCTAGGTTAGCCAAATGAATGCAATGTCCTCTATGTCATTTGGATGAATGAGCTTCCATGGTATCTGGCATTCAGGCATAAAGGCTCTGTCAAGTCCTTGAGCACATACATATTCTGAGGCTACTCATGGAGCAGGAAATGAAAAAACTTCCCCTGAATTTTGATTAGGGGTTGCACAGGCCAGTAGCCATAGGGCTACTTATTTATCAAGGTATTAATTTATTTGACCTTCCAAAAATAATAGCTGAGCTTCAGTACTTTTTTTTTTTTTTTTCTTCTTGAAATCTTCTTTTTGGTGTTTTTAGCTGGAAGTGGAATAGAAAAAATAGAGGAAAAAAAAATGTATGTTAAATTTCCTCTAAAATTTGGGAACAATACCAACAGCTATTTTTGCTTAACTTTACTCACTATGAGTTTGTGTAGTTCTTGTTTATTCTTACTTGAGCTTTTGTATGCTGGGAGGGATTTGGGTATTGATGTTCATTGTCTGTATAAGTATTACAAACCTAGGGTTACTAACTCTTTAGAGTTCTGGGTTTTGGTGTTATTTTACTTCGGTGTTATTTGGTTCAGAGTATGAGACTCTTAGAATTTGTTCAAAACAAGACACATTTCCAGCCTTCTGCATATCAGAAAGAAAAATGCTCTAAGCATGACCTGAGGGCTCTGAAAACAAACGGCAAATGCTGCTGTTGTTAATCGTGTTAGATCAAATCCAGGCTCAAGTGGGGGGAAAAAAAAAGCAATGAAACTCTCCTAATTCCAGTGGGACCAGGACTTCACTTTTTTTAAGCCAGTTTCCTGATTTTGCAGTTCCCAAGTCATATTTTTTTAAATGCTTGGAGTTGGCAATAACATAAATGCACAGAGAGTAGACTACTGTAATAAGAACCTTCAGAGGTTAAAGAAAACATTTGATTTCCAGTAAGTGGCATGGTAAACACATGCCCTAATCTGTTCCAAAAAACCATTAGTCCTGGAGCAGCAGGGTGTCCTTTCTAATAAATGTTATCTTTTCCTTTCATTTTGACTGCATAGATTATCCTTCACTCTATGCATAAATACCAGCCTCGTGTCCACATCATCCGAAAAGACTGTGGAGATGATCTGTCCCCGATCAAGCCTATCCCTTCGGGAGAAGGAGTCAAAGCATTCTCCTTTCCAGAGACAGTTTTCACCACTGTCACAGCATACCAAAATCAACAGGTAACTTGGACTTTCTGCTTAGCACTTGACAGGCTTCTCAGAGTAGACCAGAGAAGTGTGAGACAGGAAAAAAGAAGATATGTTGCTTATATCACCAAGAAGCATTGTCTAAACCCCTTGTTATATTACAAGCAACTTTCACTTGTAGTATTGCAGCAGCGCCCAGAGGCAATAGCTGAGACTTCAGTCCATATGGGCTAGATGATGCGTATAAGTAATTTTTTTAATGGTGATCTCACAGTTTTAAGTTGACAGCATTAAAGTTAATAGGGTCTTAATTATAAATGTGGCACTGAAACAGAAGGCGAGGAGGAGTCTGAATTTTAAAGGTACTTCTGAATGTAGATAAGTGATCAGATGTTCAAGCATTTTGAGCCTGACTCCAGTTATGTCAAAAGTCTGTCTGAATAGGGTGCCCCACAATCTTAAGGGGGGAGCTGAGGTCTGAAAAAAGCTGCAGTAATTATCATTAACTGGATTCAGCGTACATATTATTAACATATTATTTATCTGGGACCATACATGCTCAAAGTCAAAACTAAATTGCAGTTGGCCTGCCTGCAGCGTTTGGCTCTTATTACTACTTGTTTAAGTATTAATATACAGAGTGACACTATGTTTAGTGCTGTGATATTTGTTAACTCTATATAAGAAATTACAGTATATTTTGGGAAATTATATATGCCTTGTCATCTTTGCAAAGGGATAACCATGTAAATAGACTGAAATAAATAATGAAACTTAACTATTTGGTGTTTACGCTGTTCATTTAAGTAAATTACAAGCATCTTTTTTTTTCCCCTCGTTTTATTTTTTTAATAGAACACAACAGCCTAGTGATAATCTCTCTTTTCACATTTCCTTCTTAACCCACACAGAAATAAAATTTAATTTAAATTTTATTGCAATTAGGCAATGTACTCTCTTAGGTGAAGAATGACATTTGCCAGAAGATTTTCCTTGAGAATTCCAACCTGCCATTTAGTAACATTAAATACCTATTAGCTTCTCTGGGGATTTGCAAAAATCATGGCCAGAAGACTTGGCCTTATTTTGGTGCCTTGAACCATGCAAATGGTAATATGTTTCTGCTTTAAGTGTCAGGAGGTAGGATACTTCACTGAGTCATTTTTTGTATTACTTACCTGAATTTGCAGATGTTAATTTCTTTCATCATCTTCACAGATAACTCGTCTGAAGATTGACAGGAATCCATTTGCCAAAGGGTTTAGAGATTCAGGACGTAACAGGTAGGTGCTTGTTGTTGCTGACAGAACCAGTTTGTGAAGGCTGGCAGTAGATGTCCTTCCTACCTAGGAGAATACTTGTATTTACAGACAAATGAGTCTAAGGACTTGGGCTCCCTGAGGAAGCTTAGGCTTCCCATTAATGTTCTCAGTGGTGGCTTCCTGTTCCTCCTCCTCTGACCCTCTAGATCATGAACTGATTGGCATGTGGCTTGACACATGTACTCAGGTATCCTTTCATTGGAAACTGCAGCATACTGTGAAGGCTGAAAATTGAATTAATGCAGACTAAAGTCTGTGATTTTTGAGGTTAAGACCAGAGTGTGCTGCAGGACAGGAGTAGGAAAGTATGTACAGCCAAGGGAACTGTGTCACTGTGGTGCTGGAAGCTGTAATCTTTGGGTGTGGCAGTGAATGTGTAGGTAATGGTACTGACCTGGGCATGGGAATTCTTCAAAGCCAGCAGACAAAGGTAGGGAGAGAGTGTGGCTGGCCAGCAGAAGAGGCTGCTCCTGAAGTCTCCCTCCTGTCTAGAGACACAAAATGAAGATATGAATATCCATCTCCTGCATGTGAGTGGTGGTAGGATAGAGTGGTTCCTTTTCTCTTGAAGAGGGAGAATCTCGTTTCCCTCCTGCAATAACCTGATGTTTATTATGCACGCTTAGGAGGCTGGAGACTTGTGTCAAAGTATTTCTATTGCTTGAAGAGTTTTAAATCCACTGCCCAGGTGAATGCTTTTCTTACTAGGCTAGTCTTACTAGATGACCTTGAAGCAGACCTGGTTTCCATCTTTTCTGTTGCAGTTGGACTGATTAATTGTTTGCTCTTACTTGATCCTCTATTTTTTCAAAATAGCAATAGAGAATCCGAGTAGTTGGAGACTTAGTCTCTGCTGCCAGAACTGATGAGGTATTTTATGCAAAGATTGTTCAGTGCAAAATACTTAAGCCTGTTACGAATTGCGTGTTCAAGCATTTCAGCTAAAAAAAGCAGCATTTAATTGCGGTGCATAGTATACATCAGTTCCAGTGACCACTTTGCGTTTGCTGTCTACAGCTGCTATATTTATGATCTAGCCTTCCAGAAAAGAGAGCAGACTGTGCTCTGGTAGGAATGTTCAGAGAGTATCTTTTGTTGGCTGCTTTACTGAGCTTTTCTTTCAGCAGAGGCTGCAGCTTTAAAGACCATTTTGTTCTTCCACCTGAATTAACTGAATACTGAGACTGGACAGCAAACAAGATTATTTTCTAGAAGATTAACATTTTTAGAAGGGGTGGGGTTATAAAAATTTACAGGAGTACACTGCAAGAATCTTCCCAGTTTGCTGTCCATATTTGCTGCTTTCTAAGATTTTTGTCTTCTATCAAGAAACAATTGGCCATAGTCTGTCCTGACGCCTGGAAAGAATGTTCCAGCCCCTGGCATAAACAGACATTCACCCTCTTTTGTTACTTTGTATTTTGCATTTAAATTAACAGTAACTTCCAGATAAGTACAGTGACTAAAGAAGCAAAATTTGGTTTGTGTACTTGAAAAATTGCTCTGTATGTGCAACCGTGCAAATCTAGTTATTGTACTGAGGCTGTCCAGAGATGTTTTTTGGTTTAGCTTCTAGGAATCGTTTGGGTTCAGGCATTAAAAAGAAATGTGTTTTTGAATGGAAAAACAGTTCTAGTCCATTTCTGTAAACTATGAAGCCTGTGTTGTAGAAGTGTGTTTTGGAATTGGCTTTAGATAAGTTCTGAAAGCTTTTACTGTAATAAATGCACTCATTTCGGAAGTGTCTCTGCATACTCTGTTGCAAAGAGGCATTATTTTTGCTGAAATCAGTATTGCTGGTTTCACTGATAGGCTTCATAGCACTGAATAACTATGCTTGTGCATGCAGCTTATTTTCAAATTTTTGAGGACAGCACTAGTTTACTCAACTGATTAATAGTTTACTCTGTTACCAAACACAAAAATTACGAGGTCTGCCACAAAAGTAATGCCTCCTATTTTATTATGTTGACCCATGATGTCAGAGCCAATGGTGGTGGTATGGCATTAGAGGCTGAACCTTCCCAGCAATATTCCATTGCATTTTGTTGCTCTGCGATAGGTGGCAGCAAAGAGGCAGTCGGACAAAATGGCATCTGACATGGAATTATGGATAAAGCAAGAGTATGGAGTTGAATTCCTCCATGTAGAAAACATAACACCCATTGACATTCATTGGTGCCTGCTGAATGTTTATGGAGGCCAGCGTGTGTAAGCACAGTGAGGTGGTGCATTTCAGCAGTGATGACAGCAGCATGAAAGTCAAGAAACCCTTTGGGTGGCTGTCATGCCACAAAATGGAGAGCATTTCGATCAACTCATCCACACAAATTAGTGGGTTATGACCAGATTGCTGTGTATGGAGCTGAATATCACTTTCAGTGCTCTGGAAACAATGGTTGCAGTGATGGAATATCACAAAGATTGTGCCAAGGTGGTCCCTGGTGAGGCTGAAGGTGACAGTTTCCTGAATTGTATTTTTACCAGTGATGAGATGTGCTGCTACCACTATGAGCCAGAGTCAAAATGAAAGTCTGTGGAGTGGTGGCATGAGGAAGATGTTCAAGATGCAGCCCTCAGTGGGTGAAGTGATATACACTGTTTTTCTTGCAATAGGAAAGAAGTGATCCTTCTGGATTTCTTGGAACCCCGGTAAACAGTCAGCTCTGACTGCTGTATCGTAACAGTGACTCTGCTGAAGGCTCCAACTTCCAGTGTAAGGCCGAAGAAGAAGACAACCTTTCTCTTGGAACACAATAATACCAGGCCCTATTACAATCTCAAGATCATATAGCAAATTGCCAGTCTTGGCTGAACTGTCCTACCATACCCACCATATATAGACCAGATTTGGCACTTTCCAGCTTCCATCTGTTTGAGCAGAAGAAAGATGGGCTGCCATCATAGTAGCTGTGAATCAGTGGGTTATCTTCACTGGTGCAGATGTGTGTGAGCGCAGCATGATGGCTCCTATTCATCTCTGGCAAAAATACATAGATAATGGTGGTGACTATGTTAAAAATGATGTTTTGTAGCTGAGAATTTTCTCTGACAAATAGTTTTATTGTGTTCATCGTTGTAATTTTCATGGAAATAAATAGGAGGCATTACTTTTAGAGTGACTTACGTAAATATTAAGATTTCTATCTTTGTAGATCTAGCTGTTCTACTTCTCATCTACGCATTTTAGTTTGCAAGAAAAGTAGGAAGGGCTGCACACTAGTATTTAAATTTTCAAAGTTGCTTTAGTTACTGTGACTATCTTAATTAAAACTATTCCCTTTCAGGTCATTCTCTTTAAGTTCTACAGGTATTTTTACAGAAATCAGTAGCTTCACCTTTTAAAAGTGTTCCCTGTACATTTGCAAAGTGCAACAGAATTTATGTGCTGAGAATTGCTTCATTCTTCAGTTAGGCCTTGCATTTGACCCTATAAAAACTTTTACTCAGGAAAGGTCCAGAATTTCTCTCTTTAAATGCTTCAGGAAAAACATAACTGTTTTGTTAAATAAACTTGGCTATTTGATAGCGCAAATTAGAGTGGTGATAAAATGTGGAAATTGTTCGAAAGCATCTTGTATAAATTATCACCTTGGCTACACTCCTCCAGGAGGTGGCTTTTATCTCCACTTTAACTAGAATTGAAAATTCACCATTACTGCAGAAAATGAAGGCTATCTTTTTAGTTGAGGTTAAGCTAATAAATGCTTTATAACCATTTCCTGGAATACATTTGTGATCCTGCTGGAAATGCAATTTGGAAGAGGCAGTATCAGAAGAACTTGTTGGTAGCTTCAAATTGAGCTGTTTGCATAATTCTAGTTTACAAAATTTTGCTGCTCTAAGGCAGGCATTCATCGTTGATATGTACCTGGTGCTGACACTTAACAGGCCTTTGGGGCTCAAATGCCAAAAATAATTGCAAAACTATAACTTGTAGCTGCATTATGTACAAAATTCTGTGAGAAAGCATATGAGCCTTTACTTTCTGGACATAGAGATTCTTCTAAATACGGTCTGCTGTGACTGTGTAGGTAGTTATTTTTGTTTTGTTGTGAGACCATTGAAGGAGAATTATTCAAGATCTTTAGTTTCTGAAGGCATTTTGCTCAGTGCCTTATGACTGAGAGACAACGTTGCTTTATGTATTCTAGTTGCAAAAGAGCTGTACGCCCATGCATTGCTCACAGTGTGTGTGTGATTGTCCAACTCATCAGAAAAGACTGGAAGTCCACTTTCAGTAATTGTCAGTTGATCACCTTTGCTCTAGTCAGAAATAGGAGATTGCTTCTCTGGCAATTAAAGCAGCTGCTTTTAAGGAAATGTCACGGTAGGAAAACCTTTAATATCATTGCAGCCAGCTCCACTCAAAAAAAAAAAAAAAAAAAAAAAAAAAAAAAAAAAATCAAAGTAGGGGAGCGGACTTGTGGAAGTGGGAAACTCTTTGCAGGCTATTAGTCCAATGATTGCAATCACAGCAGTCTTGTGGGTTAGCATGTAAGACTTCTAAAAAGCAAAATGAATTGGAAAATAATGAACTTATTCTGAAATGCTGATTATTTTTCTGTGTTTTTGAAATAAAGTATACAGAGGAATGTGACAAAATACAGCTTTCTATCATGATGCCATGATGTTTTTTGTTCTCAATAGAATGGGACTGGAAGCTTTGGTGGAGTCTTACGCCTTCTGGAGACCTTCACTTCGGACACTTACATTTGAAGATATACCTGGGATACCTAAACAAGGTAATAGTCTTTGTGTTTTTTCCAAAACAAAAGATAAATATAAAATTCTTTATGTCCATCATTCCTTACTAAAATTAAGATGAGTGTGCCACCTACGTAAAAAGTGGCCAACTAACCCCACTGGCAGCCATTTCCTCTCATTGGAATTAATTGAAGTTACAAAAAAAGTGCTAACTTAAGCACTGTGACAGTAAAAGTGTTATAAAGATAAATCAGATCACACATGGAGGAAGATGAGTTACTTAAGGGCAGAATAAACTCTTATCTGGGATTATGCTCTAGCTATGTACACAAGGCAGAGTTTATTTATGAGTGACTACAATTGTAAACATCCAAACTCAAATGTGGGAATTACTTGTGTGTTTAAGATTTAAGAAAAAAAAAAAAAAGGAATGAAAGAATAGGTGTTATTTGAATCTACTGAATAAATACTTCTAAGTTTAATTGCGTTCTTTGGAAAGCCTTGATTCTTAAAGACCAATTGTTTAGTGAAAGTCCTACAAACTTTTTTCACATCCTAGAGCTTGAAAATTTTTTTTCAAGGAGAGCTTTCTCCTGTGCTCTAGTCGATAGTTTCTTGGCTTTAGCTTTCCTATCATAGAGATAGTGCTGTTGGAGGAGAGATGGGCTTTTAAATGGCCTGTTCAGACACAGAGAAGTATCTCTGTACTCTTTTCTGAATTCCTTTATTTCCAGGGCATACTTATGCATATATTAACCTTTCAGTTTTTTCTCACCTAAATCAGATTTGCTCTTGGTTTGTTACTTTTCCTACTATCAAATTTACAAACGTCCTACCTACTTTCTTGATAGTATATGCCAGAACGTCGTCTGAGGAAAAATAAATAACAAAAGAAAAGGAAAAAAAAAAAAAAGAAAATACAGAAACACACAGAAATCACTTTTCTCAGTTTCTCCTTAGTCCTCTCCTTTGATGAATCTTCAGCATAAGTGCTTGATATGAGCAGTTAAAAATAAGTTTTTGTGCAAAGTCACAGATACTTGGGATGAATATGGGCAAATTTTTAGGCAGAGGGTGGTTGTGAGGGTGCTTTTAAAGGATGCTTTTAAAGAGTGCTTTTAAAAATGCCTAGGAGACAATAATATCAGACCTTGTCCAATTGTGTAAGACTGATGAGTAACTCACTATGAAGTTCTCCTGTTTCTCCTGTCCAGAGGCAGATTGGCTCTGTTGCCACCCGTTTGTACACTTTTGGAGAGCAGGCAAACTGCAGCCATAAGCTTTCCCTTCTACTGTAGCCTGAGGTCAAGGATCTTATTGAAGTATTCTCTACTGATGAGAGAATAAAAACTACAATCCTTGCAAAATCATTAATGTGCCTTGGACAGTAGAGTGATTTAGAGCTTAGGCCAAAAGACTTGGTGAAAGACCCCACTAGAACTGTGTCCCAGTTTTAATGTGGACATCTTCAGACAGTGAGGTTGTTGATGTAGAATCATTAAATTTGGAAAATACCACCACGATAAGCTGTCAACCCATAACCACCCTGCTCACTAACCATGTCCCTCAGCGTCACATCTCCATGTTTCTTGAATCCTCCAGGGACAAGGACTCCACCACTTCCCTAGACAACCTGTTTCAATGCATTACTGCTCTTTCTGAGAAGAAATTTTTCCTAATATCCACCCTGAGATTGTAGGATTTCTGGGGTGTGGAGCTATCTCATAATGTTTTGTGCATGGTTGTTTTTTTTTTTTTTGTCAGTAGAAAAGCAGGAGGCAGACTTCACTTTAAACTTACTTTTCCTTTTTTAGCTCACCTATCATGAAAACCTGTTAACTTACTGGCAGTGTGTATCTCTGCCACTGTCTGATTGTTAATGTGAATCACAATCAGGAATGTCTTCTTTGCTATGTGACTTTGTCCTGGGAGGCTGTAAAAGATCCAAATCCATTTTTCTACATTCACTTTCCCAAGAAATAAATTTTTTAAGACAAAGATTTTCTTGCAGCTGGGAAACTTTCAGTCCTCAGAAGATACTTCACCTCTAGCAAACAGTTTATTCTTAGGAGCTCTCAGTGCTTGTGTTTGTCATGTAAAAAGTTCTGATACCAGTAAATGAATAGTTTGTCAACAGTTTGCTGCCAGCAATAAAATAGCAATGCACAATACGCAGCCAGTGCATTTTATGAAGTTGTTTTAGTTGTGGGATCTTCTGTCATTTGAGGTAAGGATCCAATCCTTATGTGGTACTCTGACAGTGGCAGACACAGGGATGCTTTACTCATCATAGCAAGGGTTGAAACTCACTCTGGAGCATAGCAACAGCAGAGACCACACAAAATTCGTAACTTTGAAGAAGGCTTACTATGATGTGGTACTTGGATGGCTGCATTGTTGCTACTAAGCAGTTCTCTTGCAGGGTCAGATGAAGAGTAGTTAGCCTTCTGGAGCTGAAAGGCTGGATGTATTGAGTTATGGTCTCAAGAACATAGCTGGTGTTCCGTTCTAGGACAGATCATTTATTTAAAAACATGCATGAACCATGCACACACACCTTCACATGTATACACTTAAGTATTTTGCATGAATTTGTGTCAAGTGTTTCACATCAAGGGTTATTATAAAAGACAATGGTCTTGATCTGTCACCTAGAAAATGAGCCTTCCCAACATGCTTCTTACACTGTCATATTCTCTTCCAGGAAATGCAGGTTCTTCTACCTTACTCCAGGGATCTGGCAGTGGAGTGCCTTCTACCCACCCTCACCTTTTGCCGGGTTCCCCTTGCTCATCTCCAGCCTTCCATCTCAGCCCCAACACTAGCCAGCTCTGTAGCCTTGCTCCTGCTGACTACACAGCTTGTGCCCGCTCAGGTTTGACCCTGAACAGATACAGCACTTCCTTGGCTGAAACCTACAACAGGCTCACAAACCAAAGCAGTGAGACGTTTGCACCCCCAAGGACTCCCTCTTATGTTGGTGTGTCAAGTAGCACAACTGTGAATATGTCAATGAGCGGCAATGACGGGGATGCATTCAGCTGCCCGCAAACTGGCTTATCTATGCAGATTTCAGGGATGTCTCCACAGCTCCAGTACATCATGCCATCCCCTTCCGGCAATGCCTTTACCACTAATCAAACCCACCAAGGCTCCTACAACACATTTAGACTGCACAGTCCCTGTGCGCTGTACGGATATAACTTTTCGACATCCCCTAAACTGGCTGCCAGTCCTGAGAAAATTGTTTCTTCCCAAGGAAGTTTCTTGGGGTCCTCGCCGAGTGGAACCATGACGGATCGGCAGATGTTGCCCCCTGTGGAAGGAGTGCACTTACTTAGCAGTGGGGGGCAGCAGAATTTCTTTGACTCTAGGACCCTAGGAAGCTTGACACTCTCATCTTCTCAAGTGTCTGCACATATGGTTTGATGAAGCCTTTAAGTAAAAGTACAGTATGTTTTGTGTCTACAATGTATTTCTTTTGGAATATGAAGGGACAATCAATGTAGCTTGTAAAGTGTGTGTATATATAATATGAGAGGAAGTTTCACTGAATTTTTGACTTGTTTGCAGCCAGATTATTCTCCTTTTTTTGAGCTACACGGAGTTTTCTGTGGTGCAGACTGCTTTAGTTTTCTGGTACACTTAGTTGTGTAACACGTTGGGACATATGCAACAAATTAAGTAAGACTTCCTCCCCTTTCCCCCTCCTCTGTTCTAAGCCCTTTAAAGAATTAAATGACACTTAGAGTATTAAACGACACAAACAAGCCCACTTACATTGCCTGTAGTACTAGTGAGATTCTTTAAAACATTCATACAGTGTTAAGCTGATGCACCAAAGGCATTTTACAATCTTCTTCTCTGTTATAAGGGATATGAAGGGTATTTGGACTTTCAAGTGTTAAGTATCAAGCATCCAGCCTAAAATAGAAGTTTAGCTAATGGATTATTTACAAAGTAAACAGAAAGATTAGTTTGCCTTCTCATGATACGCTGTTTTTAGCTTATCAACGGCACAGCATTCTTACTAGGATTTTTTTTTTCTGCATTAGTCTAGATTTATGATTAGGAATTTGAAGACAAATAATGCGTATTCAAATTGTGGTGATGTGAGTGATTTAAGTGAACAGCCAAAGAAATGGCATTCCTTGATACAGAATGAACTTTGGGGTGCTTCATTTTTGTCAAAGGAAGGGCTTGACGCATCTTTTTTCCATCGTAAATATTGCCTATAAGACATTTACTGAACAGTAGGATATTCTAATGTATCTTTGTTTTTATATTTTTACTTTTTTAAAGCAAATGCAGGTTTGATTTAGAAAAAGTGTGCAGGACAAGAAATTCCGTTATTGATTTTACCCTTTTTTGTGTGTTGTTGTGATCTCCCTTTTTTTTTTTTTTTTTTTTTTTTTTTTAATAAGAACAAGAAGTCCTCAGTATCTCATAAATTGTACGTACATTGCCTGCAGCCATTAGGTGAATAACCCAGTTTGCCCACAAGTATTACTGGAAGCAGAACTTTCTTCTAGCTGCCTCCCTGTAATGTGGCCAAGTTGGCACCGGGATTACAATAGGCAAAATTCCTTTAATAGTTTACTTTGTAAGGTACTGTGTAACACCTACCACCTATTTCCCCCCCTCCAGGGAGCCCTCTGTCTTCGGTTGTTGTTCCTTTCTGTCATGGGGCTACCGCTGCTCTGTTTCTCAAACAGTCTTTGCTGTGGAATTCCCATCTCTGGTTTAACTGGTGTTTGCAAGAACGGAGCGCAGATCAAAATCTGCTCCTGATCAAGCTTCTCCAGAGTGATGAGCACACGGGGAGATACTGGTCCTGGGGATGCTTCTGCCCTCATCTGTGCCTGCACCTCTGTGGTGTGGACGGCTGCGAGAGCTGCCTTCCGGCTGCGTGCTTGTTGGAGCTGAAGCACTGAGGGTATGGAAGCGATTTTAATGCTTGAGAGAATGAGTCATCTTCAACATTGCCCTAAGCCTCCTCTGTACTATGCAGGTGATATGAAGGTGTTATAAAGTGAGTACAAATGTAACTGGAAAGGCTTCCCTGTTCAGCATTGAAAGAGAAAAAGGCCTGAAGTTTTTACATTTTTCAGTGAAACTGAATTGTTACATTTTGCAAGAGTTCTAATGTCTTTCCTGGCAAACAGTGGGCTTAATGTTTCTTCAGTAGATTAGAGATAGCGCATACAGAAGCAGCTCTCTCTCTATCTTTTCTTAGTGCTTAGGAAAAGAAGAAAGACCACAACTAACTTTAAGCTGGTGCCTGGAGAAGGCTCTACTTCTATTACTTATATTTTGTTTATGTTAAAGAAGACACTTAGAAAGTTCTCACTAAAGCTGGAAAGATAAGAGGGAGAGCCTGCCAAGGAGGAGATGAGTTTACTTCTTTGTTGTCACAAGCTTCCCAAGTGACCTTTTGCAGTTCACTCAGCTTTTTTTTTCTTCTGTAAAATGTGTTAATAGCACTTTTCTGCCTCATTAGGAAATGCTGACTGTACATGAAAGGTGAAGATGATCTTTACAGCTGATGTACAGTGGGCAGTACATTCTGGATGAATGGCTGGGTAGTGCCCATGTGTGGGGATAACAAAGAGCATTCATGTACTTTGGGTCTGTTGCTAGTTTCTGGCATTGCAGTGTCCTTTGATGCAGACCTACAATGCTAAAAACGTTGTTCAAAAAACTCCCAGTAATAATTTGTGAAAAGGTGTGTAGAAGATGGGCAAATTTTCAATGATGTGAGTTGTCATAGCTCTATTGGTTTCAGTCAACAAGAGTTGTGCATAGTAATTTCTGCTTCAGCCAAAACTTTGAAATGTTGCAGTTGGACATAATGCTAAATGAGAGGAATTGGTACAATTAATCTGTACGTGAAAAGGAATAAGCAGTATAATTATCCATGCCATCTTAAAGGCAGTGACTGTGTAGAAATGTGGAAGAGCTAAGTTATGCAAGTTCCTACGAGGAGGAAAAGTCGACTGTGTATGGATGTGCACGGAGGTGGCCCCAGCAAGAGTATGTACTTTGTCACCTGGGAACTGTTTAGAACTGTTCTCATATTCTTCCTGAAATTATTCCTTTCATATAACCGCACAATATGTTTTGAAACATTTGTTCCTTAAAATTTGAATCATACTGTAAATACTTACTGGTGTGCCATTGTGAAAAGTCTAGCTTTTTATTAACATAGTAAATGCTATATATGCCTTATATCTATAATTATATATCTGTATTTTACAAAAATGACACAGAAAATATATTAAAGTGTGTATCTAAACACTTTTTTCTACATTTGGAAAATTAAGGGATTTAAGCCTTTTTTTTTTTCCCTCCACATCTCCAGTAAAAGCAAAGTGACTCTAAGGTAAGCTTTGAAACTCAAAGACACTTCAACAAGCTACAGGGATCTAAGTAGCCTGCAGTCCTTCCATGTTTCAACTGAACTACCATGGAGACTATCATTTGTATGAAAAGGTTGGGGCAGGCGTTGCACAAGACAGCTGGGGCTGGAAGGTATGGGGAGGAGTGAGTATCTTGCCATGCTGATTTTTCATAGCCCAACTCATCCCGGCTGCCAAGACAAGTTTTGCTGCCTCTTATCAGCCAGATCTGGGAAGTTCTATATGACCTGGTGCTTGCAGGAGAGCTCGATGCCTTGCATATCTGCTCTGTGCTCTTACTTTGGTCATTCACTCTCCCTTCTGTTTATTCCAAAATCCATGGATTCCCAAGGCAGAGTTTACACCCAATAAACAGCTGGGTATGCTGTGATTCTATTCAGCAACAAGCAACATTTATCCCCACAGAAATACTGCTATCCATAGAGGCCTTATTTCCCATTGTACTGCAGTAAATGATTCCATGTGACGTAGGGCACAGAGCCTGAAAATATGATTGCTTTGGAATACTAGGGTTTCGTAGTCACTTAACACCAGCATTGTTGCAAATGACCAGAATTAGGGCAAAAGAAGTAGGCATGAAAATGCTTGATCATAAATATCAGGCGTCTGGAGAGAATGAGAACTTCTGTTTTTAATAAGAGAGAAGACTTTTTTGGAATGGTGCAATCACACACTGAGAAGCCTCATTTCTGCTTGAACAGAGGGCAACAGGAGAAAATCATAGGAATGGCATCAATGTTAACAAGTCTATATTATGAGCAGCTCAAGATGGGGAGCTCAAGTTATCATGAGAAGTAAGCTCACAGATTCTGTGGGTATTTTTTCCCGTAAAGATAATAGATCTAATTAGTCTGTACAGCAGATTGCTTGTAAGGGCTGAAGACTTTTAGAGATTTATATATCCACTTCAGAGATTAAATTACCACTGTTTCACTCTTCTGAATATGCTGTCAAACTGTCACAGCATTATTGTTTATGTTTACTCTGAAGTCCAAGTTTTAATCTCAATAACTGCAATTATTGTAAGGGAGTAAGTACTCTTTGTGGGCTGTCTTTTCACTTCAGCTGCCGACTTGTTACTTGAGCTCTTTGTTAATATGACCACATATACACTATTTCTCCTTGTTTTTAGCACGGTTGTGCCGATATAACAATTTAGTATATTCAAAACTGCATTAAAATTCATGTTCTGCCTCATTTTCCACACTATTTCTCATTTGCCTGTTCATTCAGAACACTAACACGCCCAGATGACATGCAGTTTTAACAGATGGTGACGTGTCAAAGAAATAACATTTCTAGAGCATTCAACTTGCTTTGAATATTTTTCATCAGTGTTGTTATGTTCAGACACTGAACAAGTATTTGTTACTCAGAAAAGGAAGTTTCCTATGCAGCCACCAATTTTTTTGCACAGTGATATCAAATTGTCCAAACTGACAGCAGACAGACTCCACACAGAGCAGTTCCAACAAGTAAGAATCTGAATCTTCTGGGTGTACATGGAGAGATGGGCCAGAATTGTGAATAGTTTCTATCCATTGCTTATGGTAACCTGAATCTGAAAAGATTCAAGCTAAAGCTTTTAACAGAAATTTTCTTTAACTTCTCCTTGCCAAATAAGCAGGTTTGAAAGCCTTTTTCTTCTTGAAGTATTGTCACTGTTTGATCTGTTCACGCTCATTATCTACATGCTCGTATCCGTTGGCTTGTAGAAGCACCAGATGAAGTTTACAGGGTAAGAGTACTTGGTACACTATTAACTCTTACCCTGAAGTGGGTTTCCACAGTAAAGACTCATTACATAACCACAGAGGAGTGTTCCCTACCATTTCCTGCCTTTCCCCGCTCCAGTTCTGTTGTAGGGATTGGCTGGAGGAATGGAAAGAGCAGAAATGGGCACCACAATCCTACCATGCGCTTCCACAATGTATTATTTTAATGTAAGACATGCGTGTGGTGGGGTGACACCTATGAGTCTTGGCTCTGTCTGAATATATCCCAGTGCATCTCATAGGAGAAGAGTAAAGTATGACATGAAAGTACCTGTGCTACCTGAATGCTGGGCTGCTGCAGTGAATGCCCAGCACGAGCCTACCTACGTCAGCACTGCTGCAATTTCGGGTATGCCTTGCCCTGATGTTTGCATACCACTGGTTTTACTTGGATGCTATAATAGGGAGCCAAGACTTAATTCAGAGCATATTAGAGGAAACCTGCACTCCGCTATGGCTGATGGTAATGCTGCCATTAACTTGAGAGAGTTTTCACCCATTGTGCTTTATGGATAGCACATTTTCAAACCCAAGCCATCTTGCCTTCTGTTGCTGAGTGCATCTCCCACACAGCAGCTGCATTTGTACTGTTTTCAGGCACATTCTTCTAGCTCTTCAAGGTGTTCTGCAGGTGGATAGTTGTTGGGCACTTCACATGACCGTATTTTGTTTTCAAATCCTGCCCTTTTTGAGCCACAGTCCTCCCCACACCAAAAGATAAGAGAGGCCTGAATGTTGGTTTCCCTTTCCAGACCACTGCTGGTGGATGTTGTGTTTGCTTCCACTGCAGATAATTGACTATATACTTCCCACAATGTTTTTATTGTATTTTACAAAGAAGAGTAATAAAAATAGAGGCTATATCACACTCAAAGCAGTGTTTCCATTCCTCAGGCAGTATTTTTCACTAACCCAAAGGAAAACACCTCCCCACCCTTTCCTGGTTACTATGCTTGGTGTATGGTTCTCAGTAAGAAGAAAACCAGATGCCATTCTTAAATGTAAGATGGTAGAAACCAGAAAAGCAGAAATAAAATATCTTAATTCAAAGAAATGTTCCTGGATAGCCTTTGTATTCTTTGAAGTGCAATATAGGCACTAATGCTACCAGAAGCATCTGCAGAGGCGCTTTTGATGCATCACCAAGAAGACAGCAGTTTGGTAGGACTGTGTGTGTGTGTGATACATGCCACATTAAAAACGTATTCCACTGTCACTGCTACACAAAGATACGTGAGCAAATGCCGTGTAGGCGGTTTTGATAATCCTTCAGATAAGTTTTGCTTCACAAGTGTTAAACAGATCCCAAAACTGTGTTAAGGGGCCCCATCTCAGGCAGAATTACATGCCCAGTCCATGCAGCCCGGTACATCCTTGTGGTGTTAATTAAATAGCATCTTAAGGTGAATATAAAGCAACTCATCTAGGCAGGCATTTATTTCACTTTGCTGTAACTGAATCATAGAAACATAGAATCATAGAGGATACCTTAATTTTCTCAACATTTCAGACAAAGACTAATTACCTGGGAACTCTGATATTGAGTGGTTTAGCTCCATAGGATGATGATTACTATTATTATTATTGAAAAGAGGGGCCTTGGAAAACAAATTTTAAATCGAGTGAAGGCTGGTTAAAAAAAAAAAAAAAAAAGCTGATATGTGAGCAAACATCGTCTAGAAATCACAGTATGCAATCTCAGATGCCTAGAAATGATCTTCCTGGCCTCATGTCCTTGTACTTTGCAGAGAGAACTGTTGCATTAAGCAGAGAAGTGATCCATGGAGGTACCCTTAACTTATGAAGTGTTGGGTAGTACGAGGGCTTTTGTTTGGTAAGTAAATGCTGAACTACTTAAAATACCTAGGTTTGAATATCTGCCATTTTAATCCTTTAACATTCTGATTTCGTTTTTGTTGTTATTTTTTGGAAGATACTCTTAGCAAAGATGAGATGATGCTTAAAAATTTCCAGCCAGATGTGTCTCCAAGCTTTCCCAGAGATGAAGGATATTCAAATATAGTTTGAATCCAACCCATTTTATAGATAAGTTTTGTTTTATAGCTGGCCACAGCTGCAAAGTTTGGATGCAGATCTGTAACTGTTCTAAACTTTGAAGGCCACAGTCTGTGGTTTTGGATTTGAATCTCCAGGGGCTTGTTGCATCAGACTGCCATTCACATCTGTTTCACCAACAGCTCAGTGCAGATCTCCAATACTGGTTTCAGATTCTACAAAGCTGAACATCAGAAATGTCCGTTCTCAAGCACAATGCGGCAGATGAGCAGTGACAGCAGGGTGTTGCAGATCTGCAAGCTAACAACTCTCTCCATGCCACCTGAGGGCCATCGGTGATCCACCACAGAGAAATGGCTGGTGGGTCACAGATTGCTGGCTTCCATTCTACGAAGTATGATGTACATAATTCCTTCATATTATGTTTCCCTGTAAGTGAACACTGCAGCTTCTCACAATGACATTACACGATCATGTAGAAGGTGAGAGCATCTGTGTAATTGCAAATGAGATGAAGGCTGGTCCTTGGAGCATTCTCTGAGAGCTTATCCGTGATGAGTGGTTGCTAAGAAACGAGGTAGAAAGTGAATTTACAACACCTCAGCTCAACAGGTGAGTGGCTCTTATATGCAGTCAGCCAGAGGGAAGGTCCTCCTGCTGAAATAAGAGGAAGCCATGCCATAGAAGGGATGCTCCTGCAAAGACAGTGCTGCAAGGCTGAGCTCCTGCCGTTTCCCTCTTGTTTGCTCTACAGGCAGATTTCAGCTGCACTGTAACAAATAGCAAGCCACAAACGTCTATCTGTGAGAGTGTTACTGGTTGTCACTGTGGCATGGACTGCCTCACCCACTGCAGTGACAGAGCCACCCACGGTAAATGCCGGACAACTCCTCTGACCTGTTAATAGTTGGCAGAGTATTTGATGACAGTTGCAAGAATCTGATGCACAGCAGTATCCTTTACAGCAGTTTAATCTTTGTCATCAAATCCCCCAGCAGCCATGATTAATAGCAGCACTTG